TCCAAATCTTACAAGAGTGCCTGACATTCATTTTTTTTCTTAAAAACATGTATTTTAAATAATGACATTTTTCAAAACACAAGGAAACAATAAATGTAAATGATGCTCCCTTAGTTACTTTTTACTTGTTGCTGGGACAAAATATCTGATGCCCAAAGTTAGGAAGGAAAGGTTCATTTCTTACAGGTTGCAGGTTTCAGTCCATACTCATTTGGCTGCAAGGAAGCATGGCATGTTGGGGTAGCCATTCATGGCAGCTGCAAACAGCAAAGTGGAAAATCCACAAGACAGAGAAAGACACATTTTTCCGGCCATTACATCATATCCTGGCTCCATCCCTAGGCGGGAGACGCACTCACACCACCAATCAAAGCACTAGACAATGAACCAATCACAAACACATAATTGCCTGAGGCTTGGGGGCCACTGACATGGCCCCCCAAAACAGATGCTTTTCTAGCTTGACATTCTTATTATATATAATTTTTGGTATTTGTCAAGAGTTATTTGGGGATGCTGGAAATTCTCAAGAGACCAGACAACAAGCATAAACTTCACATTTCTCTTTACATTTGTAAAGAGAAGTTCACATTAGTTCATTGTGTGTAATTCCCAGGATATTGATACAAATGATATGATATTTTCTCTTATGTCAGTTGAACATGAGAAATGCAAATATTTTTTAAACTACTGTATAACAGTATTTATGAAGTTTACACCTATATTATGGTATACATTAGAGATATATATTACATTATTTAATTATCTACTTTCACATAAATATACATATTCTTTTTTTTTTCTTTTTGTCTTTTTTGAGATGGAGTCTTGCTATGCAGTTCCAGCTGGCCTTGAGCTCACTTTTTGTAGCACAGGCTGGTTTCAAACTTGCAATGATCCTCCCACCTCAGCCTCCCAAGTGCTGGGATTATAGGCATGAACCACCACGCCAGGCTAAATATGCATATTCTTATGCATATATGCAATGTATATAAATAATTAAATGAATATATATATATATATATATATATATATATATATATATATATACATATGAATGGTTACCAATGGTCTTGAATGTATAGATATATCTCATTAGGATGTTTCACGAGATCAATCATTTCCAAACAGTGCATTCATTTTTATTGTGGGACTATACAATGCAGTTCGAATGATCTGTCTACTCAGCCTCATGATCATGCTGATAGATGACACAGTAAGGTGAAATGTGGCTCAGTAGCACCTCTCTGACTTAACCTCACTAGGGATAGAGTCGTTAGTATCTGAATCTTGGACTCTTCTTTCACTTGGCTTTAGAAAAGCAGGATAACACTTCAGATGCTAAAACCTAGTAAGTATAAAAGCAGAAGCCAGAATAAGGTTTTGATACTAAAATATGTAATGTTTAGATTTTTATTGCATACTAGAATTTGAATATTGATTCTACAATTTATAAAATAAAAATTTGTTCAAAGAGGGAGAATAGTGAAGGAAAGTGGATTTGGACAGGTTGTACTTACTTAATTTTACTTGTACTCTGAAGGACAAGGACACAGCTTTCTATCTGATGGGAAAAAGGGAAGGAGGTCAACAAAGAACAGAGGTGCACATGCATGCAAGGAGCTGTGCTCATGGCGTTTTGTTCTCTCCAGTTTCCAAAGTGAGTGTTGTATCTCTAAGACACGACTCAGTGAACTATTTTGTCATATTTTATCTCTTTGATATGATCGCCTCACAAAGTATTGACAAACACTGAAGTTTCAAAGACTTGAGATATCCTAAGTCCCAAGGTGAAACTTAATTCTTTTTTTCCACAGTACAATTCATATATTCTATATTCATTGTTGATTTCAAGGACAAGTTCAGCATTTTTTAGGCAGGGTTAAATGAACACTCATCGTATAAACAGCAGACTTCAAGCCAGCAAAAGGAAAGTGACAAATGGTATTTGTCAGTAATGGTGAGAGCAAGTAACATTAGTGCTTTGAAATTAAAAAAATGTTAAAAAGAATTTTACACAGTGTGGATTGATCTTGGGACCAAAAGAAGAAATTTTGCAAGAGACTGCTGAGGAGAAGCACCTCTCTGACTTCATGTCAGAGGGAGAAGTACATCACTGGCTTTCATCCTTATCTCTTCCTCACCTTTCCACCCAGTTGGGCTCCATTAAACAATGAATGAAAGTTATCAAAGTGTATTTACAATGGATCACATCATGCATCAGTGAATTTGACTCGGCAATTTTCTGATGAAAGAATGATACGGGCAAGAGTGTGCAAAAGTTCCTGCTAGCAGATTTATTCAGCTGTGCTGATTTTGATCTTTGAAGAGATTTGCTTTTCTGCCTTGCTGACTAAGGTGAGCTGCCTCAGACATTAAATAAGAAACAGGCTTTTAAGGACTATAAAATCCATTTCTGCCAACTCTGTAATTCTTGAAGGGGAAAAATATCCAGTTATACAGTTTACTTCTCAAATTGCAATTATTTCCAAAGTAAACATTTAAAACCAGTAAATCAAAGCATCTAAAATTTAAAAGAATGTGAACATTAATTCACTTCAGATATTAAAACTCTAGACTATATTAAAATAATTCAGGACAAAATGACAAAAGATAATTTGAATTGATTGTCCATAGTTTTCAGAACATCATTACAATACTTTACCAGAAGGAAACAATTTTATCCTTGAAAATAACACTGATGTGTGCAAAGAGAATGAAATTAAATATATTGTATACACACATCATTTTATGTTGTATTACAGATAAAATTATTTTAAATTCACCCACAAAGAAAAGTGAGATCTCTTTCTTGGCATGTTCACTTTTCAAAAATATGATATTTCTTAATTTTATAAAGGTACTAAGGTTCGATAGAGATAGACAACAGTCACCACAAATGTCCATCAGATAGATTATTGCAACCTTATCTACAGCCATTAGTTTTCTTCCCCGTCAACCAGCTGCCCTAGCAAAGGGGAGTCTTTGCCATGATATCTGGTACTTGTCACCTGTGATCAATACTCCAGTTAGGATCATCTTTATCTCAAGACTGTTGCTTAAGTCATTTTCTTATTGAACTTTTATCCTTCTATATGTGAAGACTTCTAGTGACTTAAAATATTTAGTTTTAATTCTCCCAGTTACTTGCATCATAAACTTTCTCTCCATATTACTAAAAAAATCCTCAGAGAAGGGGCTGTGATTTCTCACACACATTGATAGTCAATTTAAATTGATGTAAACTTATCATTACTTTGAGAAGAATTAATGTGGTTTAATATTATAAAAAGTATATGTGAAGCACAAAACAGATAATTAGCGAGATTAGTAGATGAATTGTTTTACTTTAAGATCTACAGAAGTATGTTCCTCAATCTATGTTTCCTTTGTATTAAGAATCACCTGGAGAACAGGCAATCCAGTCCCAGTCCAGTCTTACCAAAAAATGGGAATTCAGGAGACAGAGGCCTGAATTTTACCGTGATCCCCAACTTGAGCCTGAATGCATGACAACACTGGAATATAATACATTAAGAATTTCACTTAAAGCCTTTTTGTTCTAATAGATTTTCACAATATATTTAAAATGACATGACCAATACGAACATTATGTACTCTAGAAGCACAAGACAATGTTTTTTTTTCCTAACAATAGTCTTATGATTAGTAAATAATGAGAAAAAATCAATAGCTCCACCAAACTCTCTTAATGGTTCCGTGACCACCATGCTAAATGTTATTTCTATAGCATGTTAACTAGCACCCTGAATAATTTCATATCACTTAGAAAATTCTCTCGATGTTTCTCAGATTAGTACAACCCAGAAAACGGGCAACATGACCAGTGCCATTCCTTTAGTCTGTCACCTGAAAACTCTAAAAATTTACTGCATGAGCATAAGTTTGTAGAAAACACAAAAGATGAGTTACACATTAATTTATGTATGTATTTGAAGAAAATGAGAAATAAAAAGTACTTAATATGAGGAGGCAGAGAAACGAAAATGGAACTGAGTCAAGCACAAATTAGGATATTTGGAAACACAAAGAGATAGAAGGCAAGAAAGCAGAGGAGAGGGAAACAATTTGTATGTCAATAAAGGGATAAATTGTAAAATAGATAAAATATAAGAATACTAACTAAGGTCACAGATGGCCAAACAATGAAGGAACAGATATTACAAAAGCGAAAGACATTTGAAACGTAAATCTCATTTACATGCTCATTTTATTTTAAGCTTACAGGTAGTTTTATTACAAAAAAGCAGTCTTTATTTCCAAAATGGATAAAACGTAAAATAGTATGATAATAAAATAATAATTAGCTTTGCATATTCAGTTTTTATGCATTGATCTCAGTGTGGTATATGAACTACCATACTCCTTTTGTCTCTGCCCAATAATACACTTTAAAAAATAATATGAATATGTTACTACTGTCCTTTACAAGATGTACAAATTATAAAACCAAAATCACATACCTTTTAAAATATAGCTTTCTGTAAATTATCATAATTAGGTACCTATCTCGAATAATTTACAGATGATCAAAAAACTTATTTCTAAGATGATCGATATTGTACTGTTTTCACTAATTTCAATAGTGCTGTGCAGTCTGCCCTCTTTTGCTATTAACAGACTCAAGAGAGAGGTATACTAATGACATTCGTAAGTGTATTTAAGGAAAATGCATTACACTTGATCTTTGACTGATATGCCTGGAATATTTTAGGCAGATTTGAGCACTGTCCAAGTAAAAAGAAACACGAGGAAAATCATATTCTCAATACTTTTGCCTCAAGTCTTCTCACCTTAGCAAACCATATTTCCTGATAGAGGATAAGAAGATTGAAATATAATCATAAGTGTAAGTACATTTTAAAAAGAAAATATTTCATTATCTTATAGAGTGACAATGTGGGCTATTTATGTCTCCACTGAATTTTCATTCCTGTTACGATTGGTAACTTAAGTCATCAAAACAATGTTCTTTTTACCTTTTTTAATGAAATAATCCCTTCTCTGGTGTCTTTGTCGGTGGAGATGGAGAATATCCCAATGCCGTCTCCGTTTATGATGGAGTAAGTCATGTCAGCATTAGAACCGATGTCCGCATCATTTGCCTTGATTTTCCCGACAGCTGAACCAACTTGAGCTGACTCAGGAACGTACAGTTGATAGTGCTCTGAGAAGTATTTCAAATTAAACCAACTCAATATTAGTAATCTTCATATCACATCAATCTTTTAAGCAAAATGTGGTACATATTAAGACCACATAATCAAATGAATATCATGCTAGGAAATGAATACAATGAATTCTTTCCAGATTTAAAATTATGAGTTTATTATTTAGTTAATAAAATACTAGATTCATGTAAATTTAAAATACATTGAAATACGCTAAAGAAAAATATTTTGTAAGCCTGATTTGAAATATTTCATTAGCATTCCACATGTAAACAACAGAAATATAAAATGAAATATCTAGGATGATAGCAAATAAAAATTGAGTTAGTCAAGTGTCTCCCTCCACATAGCATGGAATATTCAAATATAAAACTGCAATCATGGAACTATACAGAGAAACACAATCGAAAATGAACACCTGCAGAAATAGGTTTAGGAATTATTTTAAATTTAGTGAGCTATATAAATCACTGTAGAGACAATGAATATATTGCTACATACATTCACGACATATTTTCCACCAATTGTCAGAAATGATTTAGTATGGCTTCATAATACTCACAGTTATTCAAATTAAAACAAAATTGATGATCAAGTTGAAGTATGAGAAACTGAAAACAATAGCTACATAAGTAATTTCATGTAGTGCTTGTTGAACACCCTTAATTTTTGCAATGTATGTCTTATGTCCAACAACAGTAAAACTATTGATTCCAAATTTATTATTGCCTGACATTCATGATTACAAAACATTTTGAAAGACTTTCCTGATAATGAATGTTTATTGAAAATTTTATTATAAACACTTATGAAGTGCTTATTAAAAAGCAGAATAACCGTATTTTAACAACTGTCTATTGGGAAGCTAGCAACATATTTATTAAAGCATTTTGTTATAACAAATTCAAAAGAACATCATAAGTAACAGGAACTGTGAATTAAGATGTAATTTGGTGTAAGATTTCTAGCCAAGATAAATTAATAGTAATTCAACAGTGTAAAAGGATAAAATTAGACTCTAAATAAATGATGGTACAGCTTATACAAAAATAATTTTCCTCTGCTAATCTTTTTTTAAGTGCAATGCACTATTAAAATAAAAGTATATGTGTTGAATGTGTGGTGAATTCTTCTTTTCCCATTATATTAATAACATTTGACATGAGATTGAAATCTTTAACACACATGTATGTGAAAATACATTGCTGTTATTTATTAGCACAATGTTTTTCATGAGAATTATAAGATATATTATCCTCAGTCTCAGTTGTTTAGAAAATCACTAGCCCCCTTCTACTCCCTGATAAGCAACTCTTCTTTGAGTCTACACATCTAACTATTAGATTACTCATTTAATTGTGATCATTTGGTGTTGTACTGCATGATTTCCTAAATTGACTAAAGTTAATATTTACCATGTTAATTCATGGTGCATATTGCAAGATTTCCTACTTTTTAAAGCCTACATAAAATTTTATTATCTCCAGTAACAATTGTTTCATATCCACTTATCCACCTACTTGTTCAGGACATTTGAAATTTTGGGCTCTTTTGTGCTTGTAAATAAATTGTATAACCAATGGTTTCTATTCCTGTAAAAATATAATTAAGAGGTTGACTGAACTGCACTGAATATAATGGAAGTTTAATATAGACACTTTATAATAATCAGACAAATAGCATGGTGTTTTGTGCTTAAAATAACTGAAAACATTTAGGCTAATTTGGAGATCAAAGTAAAGATGCTAATTCACATGCCTTCCTCTAAACTTATACATTTATAAAGTAATTAAAAATTAAAAGAATATGAAATAGAACTGAATTAGAACTGAATCATGTTTTCATATGATATGATGTCATATGTTATTTATCATATTATCTGACTCTAAGGACTACAGCAACAAAATAATGTACAAGGAAAAAACAACGATTTTTTCTAGCTCTTTTCTGTAAGTATTGGAGATACCACCTGACAAAGATAAACTCATAGTCAACGAGAGAAACACATGTCATTTTTTAGTTTAGTGATCTCTACCAACATAGAAAATCATGGACACAACACACTCTTCTCTGAGACTTGAGGTCCTTTGGCCTTATTATGGTTTTGTTATAATGGATTTGTGATAAGAAAAACTTTCTGCTCTTCTTGACACAGTGAACTAGCAGGAAGATTATAAGAATCAATGTTTTATAGAGCTCCAGCTTTTTAATCATCCTTGACTGGTGAAGTATACACAACTGACACAGTATCCCTACAAACTACTGCATTCCCCTGAAAGGTATCTACTGAAATTAGGGAAGAACTTTGATATCATCTGTGGTGTAAAGCTCTGGACCGTTTGAAAAGGCAGAAACCTATGGCTATGTTTCTAAAATTGATGTTTAAAAACCCATTCTAAAGGAATAAAATTGAATTCAGAGAAAAATTCTACTGATTTATACTGATCTTGAAAACACCACAAGATGAATCAGAGAAGTTTCAAATAACACAGGATTTTTTTTTTTAAGAGAAAGTATAGAGATGGAAAAGTGAGCCACCAAAAATCTTTTGAAACATACTGGGGTACAGATGCTAGCATTACTCAAAATCTCTGGATGCTATGGTCATTAGGCTCCAAGTAAATCAGAGTTTTCCACAGATAATTAATTTCAATCTAAGAAAGACACAAAATCCTTCTATTTGTATGTATTTACTTATGTGATTTCAAAGTTTAAGAAAAAAGACAGAAACTAAATTGGAGAAATGGAACAACTCAATATCATCTTGGGAAATATTATCACGTACGTTTCAGAAGCTGACAAACAAAAATTCTAAGGATATATAGAATTGAAACAGTGGAAGCATAAATTTTCTCTGATTTGCATGTGTAGAATTAGATAAGCTTTACTCATTTACCTTCTTTAAAGGAAGTGATAAATTTTATTTAAATCAATTGCATAGTGAAGAAACACTCAGTTTCCAAGTATATGCCTCTAACTACAACATAAAAAGTGATGCCACCATTTTTGAAAGACCTAGACATCTCAAAGCAACTATCTCTAAGATGATAATATGTAATCTATTAACTGGTGATTTCTTACTTTTTTTTTTTTTTTTTGTAGTTCTGTATTATTTGTACCCTTACACCGCTTTGTTTTGTTTTGTGTTTTTCTCTTTTTCCTTTTAAATAAAATTAAAAAAAAAAAAAAAAGACCTGGACATCTTAACTCTCTTGAATTAAGGTATACACTTCACATTTTGGTGTGACAAAAGCTTTCTTTCTTTTTTTTTTTTTCAGGCAAAGCATTGAAAAATTTGCCAATCAAATAAGTGTATAGATTTGCTTTATTGAATATGTAAGTCATACATTTAAATCAACGGTCCTTCTAATATAATTTGCTATTAACAAATTCATATCAATCTTTCCACTAATGATGTTTTCTTTATCACTAACTTAACTTAGCAAGCCAATTAAACAATTGAGATGTTTGGTGTCCTTATGGGAAATACTGCCACCTATGGAATTAGGCATGGATGTAAAAATATTTTACAGCATACTTTCAATTGGAGATCACAAGTTGGCTTGACTTCCTGGATTACTTGAAACTTACATTAATTTCAAATTCTTGACAAAGTTTTGTTAAACCATGAAGTTTCTACTGTTTGTTTTATGATTTGGGGCACGCGGTTATTTATTTTTTCCAACTCTGTTATTTGGTAGGATATTTCTAAAACACAGATCATCTCATTTAGAATACAAAAATATACAAACTTCTTTTTGAGGTATTTAATTTTACATGCATATTTCTTATTCATAATACTAAATATTAGTGACTTTTTATGCATAAGAACACATTATGCAACAAGCATAACACACCAAACATAGTAAAAGCTAGAAAAGAAAATTACAGAAAGTTTAAAAAGCCAAATATATTTACTTCTATAAAAAACTAATATAGCAACTCCACATCCTGAGCTGTTTTACTCGGAAGCTAAAGATTCAAGCCAAAGAGTAGATGATTTCCTCTCTGTTTGAGAGGAACTTCTGGAACTTAACACTTTCCAGCCCAACTATTGGTATCACTTTGAGTAGTCACTGTCTTTTTAGTTGACCATGTATTATCTGCTATTCTCGCTTGCTATCTTTCTGATAGTGACAAACAGCTTGCTTCTTCAGGACCTTTATTTGCCTTGAACATTAAGAAACTAAAACTGCAACTACCAAGGGAAGAGACATCATACACTGTCTTGCTGGCTCTGGTTCCCTTTCTAACTCTCACACACTTACTCAATTCATTCCTTTTAAGGTAAAGTGATAATTAATTAAAATACAAATAATAATTCAGTTCACCTTTAAACACAAGGTAAATTCACAGCAGGAGGAATCGGGATGAGGATGAATATTTTTGCATTGTTGTAGGAAACCAGTAGTGGTACGCTTGGTTGCAGTAATAGTGCAAGAAAATTTGCTCAGATGAGCAAAAGCGAGAGAAATCACAAGGACAACTATAAAATAGTACATGCTATGGGAAAAATTAGGCTACTATACCCACCTGATACTGGTTATGGTTTCTATATAATTTGAATTGTATTTAAATTTATGCATATTATAGGGCTTTGTGAATGAAAGTGTTCGTGATAGTTCATGGTTCATTCTCTTTTTCTCTATGAAGTTTACATTTCCCCACCAGATAGTGACTTTATGAGTTCCAGTGCTTAAAAATAAATGAACCAATAGTCCTACAATCTCATTTTTCCATGATGATCTTATATGAAAGCAGCATTATATTTTCTGGGCTCGAATGACAAAATAAAATGCATTTTAAATAATACAGCATGTAAAGTTCTGGAAATATGCCATGCTATTTCAAAACTTTAATGACATCACAACTTTAATGACATGACACTGTGGAAGAATTTCCATGTGTCCATCATTTGTGCAGAAAGTTCCTAATTGAAGACAGAGCCCGTTATTTACAATGATTAATTCTGAGTATATATTTAATGTTTCCGTGT